TGCAAATTTTACATTTCGATTAGAACAATGGACAAAACCATTCTTTATTCAACTTGATGGATTTTTAATCACACAAACAACATTATCTTTTGACTAAACAAACCAAAACATACTGGTCCGCACAATAGTTTCATAATTATAATAGGACTTTGTAAAATTTACATATAAATAAAAACATTTTTTAATGATTTAAATATTCATTTCTATTAGAAATGAATATTTAAATTATTTAAAAATGATTACAAATGGTGGATTAGAAATTCTAGTCTACCATTATTATATAAAATATGCAAGGTAAAGTATTACACACAATGTAAAAAAACTCGTGTATAATACAAATTCTTATAAATTTTTTTAAAAATTATACAAATTTTAAATAATAATATCTTGTTTTTGTTTTTACTTTTATTACATTAATAATTTTATTAAATGTATTAATTCAATAAAATGTAAATTTTAAATAATAATGTCTTGTATAAATGTAAACAGTAGAAAAAATTTATTTTATATTGTTATCAGAAAAGAAAATATTAGTATAATCCGCAAAGAGAATGAAATTTAGGAATTTTGAGAAAAATGAATATCATTTATAAATATGAAAAATAGCAGAGGACCAAGTATTGTGCCTAAGGGTTGACACCATGGTTAATAACTTCTAACTTTACTGGTTCCCAGTGGGCATTTGTTTTTAAAAGTTACGTTTTAAATGTATTTTAAATGTGTTTAAATGTTTTTTTTCTAAACATTCGTCCGTAAAGAACGTTTAAAAGATGTTTAAAATACGTTTAAAAGATATTTAGAGCGTAACTTTTAAAAACAAATGCCCGTAGGGTTAAGTCTACGTTACACATTGTTTACGATTCCGAAGATAAAACTGAAGCCATTTTATATTCGAATTCAAAATTCTCTTAGTTTTGCAATTTATAGAAAAGAATTTTATGATCGACAGTGTAGAATGCCTTCAATCTACAAAAACTCAAAATATACAAAAACTCCAAGTGTGTAGTTGTCATCAAACCCTCTTAAAATACTGTTAGCCCAATCAACTATTGCATTCTCAGTGCAATTTTTTTAAATCCAAATTTTTTATGACATAAAATGTTATTTTTTTCACGGTACTTATATATTTTATTTAAAATATATAAGTACCTTGAAAAAAATAACATTTTTTTCAAGGTACTTATATATTTTAAATAAAATATAATTTTTTTCAATAACGCTTAAAAAGCTTTGAAAAACCGGAAAATATTGAGATAGGCTTGTAGTTCGTTATTATTGATACGTCGCCGTTTTTTTATAAATTGGAATTATTTTTGCAAATTTTAATTGATCAGGAAAGACTCCATTTTTTAAGGAAAAATTAAATATAACGAAAAGTGGGGATACTTTAATATCATAAATTGTTTTCACAACATTCGCACTAACATCATCAAGACCTGCGCTTTTATTCGTTTAAAGCGTAATAAAAGCCAAACGAAGCTCATCAATAGAAAGTTCAGAATCTTCCACGACAAAATCAGATTGTTTCAAAAAAGACTTGAATGATTTGTTACTTAAAAATTTCACTGGTTAACTTGTTCCCAATAATTATAAGAAAAATTATTAAGCTTCTAAGCAATTTTTTTCTTATCAAAATCTCACTATTATCCTCAGTTTAAAGTCGGTTGGGGATGTTGTTAAAGCTAATTTTTTTCCTCCAAATTATTTTTTTTATTATAGTCCAAGTTTTTTTAGGGTTTCCTTATGCTTTATACAGTAAACTCGAATAGAAAATTTTTTTTATTGCTTTTTTAATTTTTTCAAAATATTTCTTGTAACTTTTAAGATTGGTTTTTTTAAAATTTTACCTAAAATTCCTACTCATGACCTAATATATTCTCATAAACAGGAGAAAAGGTTAAAGTATCTCTATGACTATTTTCCTTCATAGAATGTTATCTAAGAGTATGTCATTACACCTCGTACTAAAATTTTCTTAGACATATTTTAACTCGTATCTTCAACTAAGTAATTGACGTCACTCTCGTCCTTTGAAATAATAATACGGTTAAATGAACTGCAGTTATTTAATTATAATTATAAGCTATTTAATCCATTTTGTAGTTCTTAAATTGTGTTTAATTTTATATTTGATAAAAGCTAAAATAAAACAGTTACTTTTTTATTTTTAAAAAAGTAGACTTTTTTTCAATTAATTCAAATAATTTAAGGCAATTTATTTGTTTATTCTAAATTTTTAAATTTATATATATATATATATATATATATATATATATATATATATATATATATATATATATATATATATATATATATATATTTTAAATTTAAGGAAATGATAATAAATGGAATAAAATGGATCTATCAAGGAATATGATAGATTCTAAAGTTTGCAAACTGCTTCCAAATGTTTTTGATAAGGTTGGGTACTTGATCGGAAAAAATTGGCAAAGTTTTGGGCGCTAACTTGGCTTGACTAATCACGATCTTGATCATATCAAGTCTGATAATAGTTCGACTCATGAGAAAGCTGTCTGTGTCTTATTAAGATGGAAACAAAATCATGTAAATCCTTCATGGGAGATATTAAAAAAAGAGTTAACATTGTTTCGGCGTTTAGATATCATTGAAGAAATTGAAAAAGAGTCAGTAGGTAAGAGTAACATCAAACATATATTTTAATATATTTTTTATAATAGAAAATGTTTTAATTGTTTTTGTTTACACTTATTTTTTTATTATTGTTATATTTTGCTAAAAAAGTTAGATTAATGTATGACAAAAACTTTTTACATAAAATCCTAAATAGAACCACATTATTCTTTTTTCCTTTCTTCCAACTTTTTGTTTTTTTGGAACTCAAAAATAAAAAATAAAAAATTAATTTCTTATAAAAAACATCTCAACAAACAAAAATACGAGACTTTTAATTGACATTTCCTGTTTAAAATCAAATAAAAAATTGACTACAATAATTATAAATATTAAACAACGGGTAATTATCATTTCCTGTTTAAAAATAGTAAAATATTATTTTTGTTACATAAATAGCACTACTGATGATTTTTTAAAGGCCTCTAGTGCTATAAAATTTTAAACATAAATTTCGTGTATCTTCATTAAAATTACTTAATAGTAACAATAAAAGAAATAAATATTTTATATGCAGTGTTTATATGTTTGACTGCTAGATTATTTATATTGATTATTTACATTTCAAATTATATGTATATATATATATATATATATATATATATATATATATATATATATATATATATATATATATATATATATATATTATAAATATAAATATAAATATAAATATATATATATATATATTTATATATATATATATATAAATATATATATATTATATATATATATATATATATATATATATATATATATATATATATATATATATATATATCTATATATATATATATATGTAACACAATAAGTCAAAATTTTTCAAGCAAATTCAAAAGTTCAAAAAAACATATTCAAAAAAGTCATATATATATATATATATATATATATATATATATATATATATATATATATATATATATATATATATATATATATATATATATATATATATATATATATATATATATATATATATATATATATATATATAATATATATATATATATATATATATATATATATATATATATATATATATATATATATATATATATATATATATATATATATATATATATATATATATATATATATATATATATATATATATATATATATATATATATATATATATATATATATATATATATATATATATATATATATATATATATATATATATATATATATATATATATATATATATATATATATATATATATATATATATATATATATATATATATATATATATATATATATATATATATATATATATATATATATATATATATATATATATATATATATATATATATATATATATATATATATATATATATTATATATATATATATATATATATATATATATATATATATATATATATATATATATATATATATATATATATATATATATATATATATATATATATATATATATATATATATATATATATATATATATATATATATATATATATATATATATATATATATATATATATATATATATATATATATATATATATATATATATATATATATATATATATATATATATATATATATATATATATATATATATATATATATATATATATATATATATATATATATATATATATATATATATATATATATATATATATATATATATATATATATATATATATATATATATATATATATATATATATATATATATATATATATATATATATATATATATATATATATATATATATATATATATATATATATATATGTAACACAATAAGTCAAAATTTTTCAAGCAAATTCCAAAGTTCAAAAAAACATATTCAAAAAAGTCATATATATATATATATATATATATATATATATATATATATATATATATATATATATATATATATATATATATATATATATATATATATATATATATATATATATATATATATATGTATATATATATATATGACTTTTTTGAATATGTTTTTTTGAACTTTTGAATTTGCTTGAAAAATTTTGACTTATTGTGTTACATTTTGATTCTGGTATTGTGTTATTAGTTTTAAAATTATTAGAATAAAGTATTTCTTTGGCAATATTCAATGTTTCTTTTTGATTACCATGTGGTGAGTTTTTTTTTTTATTATAATTACATCTCGATTGGTGAATTGCATTAGATGCCTCTTCGCATGCAGTTCTATGCAGTTTTTTATCTGATAAATTACCAGTTTTTCTATAACAATGCTCCAGTTGATGACATATGCCTTTTTTTAATCTTTGCATAGAAAGATAACCATTTATTATTATGCTTGCTACGACTAATTAAATATTTTAGAATTGTTCCTTCTACATAACATGATAAGTTTAGTTTATTGAAATTTTATTTTGAAAACCAAGCTAGGTTTTTTAAAATTTAATGTTGACCCTCATCTGATACTTAAATATTGTTGAGGGAAATATAATTATGGCACTTTATTACTAGATCAAGCAGGTTGGTAATACCAGAAAATGATGATATGCAAGTTGGATATTTAACACATTGTATCATGTTGGATATTGAACTCATTGTATCATGTTGGAGGTCTCTAAAGTGTTAGTAAGTCTTGGACTTGTATCTACGATAGTTTATTACAAATTAAACATATAATTTGAGAATAATGTATAATAATTCCTTCTGCCCAATCTTAGACATTTTACAAGGAATTGATATTTTTACAAGGAATCAAGAATCAATGCTCATAAGGGTATTTATAAACTACACCAAGCCTTCTCAGAAAATGTGTGTGGTTTTTTGTCTTTGCATGTCTTGTATGTCCACGCATGTCTTGTATGTCCACACATGTCCTGTATGTCCCACTCATGTCTTGTATGTCCATGCATTTAGACAACTTGATCAAGCCCATTTGCAAGTTTTATTATACTAAGTGTTGTGGATAAAAACAAAGTTCAAAAATAAAGAAAGCAAAACTCACAAAATAGGAAATTAAAATATAAAAAAACATAAAAAAAATTAATAATTTAAATAATGTATGTACTGTTTATTTTTGCTTCTTTGGATTGGTTGTTATTTTTAGCAATGAAATTGGATATGGCGAAGCAAAAAAAATCTCTTTCAAGTTGACATTAAATAGAATGATTTTCCTTTTTAAGAGGAAAGCGAAAATATAAATTGCTGTTTGTAAAATATATTTTTATAATTTTAACGTAACAAGTATGTAATAAATAACAACCAATCCAAAGAAGCAAAAATAAACAAAAATAAAATTATAAAAATATATTTAATATATTGTCCTTATATAAAAGCATCAATATAATGCATGTGTATACTTTTATGTATAACTTTTATTATTATATAATTATATTTATTTTTACTTAAAGTAAACGCACATTAAGCTTATTTGATAAGATGTTTACATCATACACAGAATGTCCGTGGTTCGAATCCCACCTCTTACAAATTTTTTTTATTTTTCTTTCCCAATCCCTTTTGGTCTACTAAGTTATTAATGAAGTATACGTAAACAATTATTATCTATTGTTATTAATAATTGCATAACAATATATAATAATTATTATTAATAATTGCTCACCAATAACATAATATAACAAAAGAGAGGGACGGTTAGAACTAAAAGCACAGTTCTAAGTGTTAAAAAGCAACTGTTATCAATAATTACAAATCGTTGAAAGATTGGGGTTCAAAATGTACAGAAATAGAAAGTTAATATAAAGCAATTAAACAATGTAAAAAATGTGTAGATGGCATGGCCTTATTGGCTCAAAAAATATGTATATATATGTGTAAGTCTTACTTAGAAAATACAACAAATAGCTTAAATGGTATAAGAAATTTGAATGTGAAGAGATGTGTATTATTTATAAACATTCAACAAAAAGATTCTTTTATATACAAAAAAGAAAAGATAAGTGTTGTTTACTTTTGTTTACTATGCAAATATATGACTAGCGGTATTTAAATGGAAAACCAAAAAAGGGACAGAGGTTGGATTTAAACCATGAACACAATCAGTGCATAAAGTAAATGTCTTATCTAAATTAGCTAAATGTGCATATGCTTATAAAAACATAATTTTTTTTATATTATTATTATTACATGATAAAAAAATACATAAAAGTATTAAAATATATACTTACATTAAAATTATACAAATATATTTTACAAACAGATAGCAATATACATTTTCCTTGCCTTTTTAATGTTGACTTGAAACTTTTTTTTTTTGCTTTACCTTATCCTATTTCTTTGTGAAAATAACAACCACTCCAAAGAAACAAAAAAAAAAAATGGTACAAAAGTTATTTAAACTAGCTGTTTGAACTCGTAAAACAGGCCACCATAAGTCTATGTTTTGCAACTATCATCAATATACTTATACTTTATTTAGTCTATTTATTTCAATAGATTTAAATTAATGGCAGAAAATGGCAGTATTTGATTTTAATTTAAGTAAACAAATAACATTAAAATTTTTAATTTAAAACCTGGGATTAACAGGCATTAAACTCCTATTGGTTTTTTAATTTTTTTCGAGCTCCTCTTCCCTTGCTTTTTTTTTTTATATAAGTAGTTGAAAAAAATATTTATGTAAAATAGTTTCACAATGAATTAAAAAATTGTTTTGCACACAAATTCATTTAAAATAGTTGGACAGGTTTTTTATTTCATGTAGGAAAATTGTTTTCTTCCTCTAAAGTGTGCAAACTTAACTAATTAAGTAAAGATGTTTATATCATAAGGCTCCCCTGTCATAGATTAAAAAAAAGCGTGATCCTAGCATCCTGTTCATTGCATTTGCATTTTTTGAAAATTTTAGAAATTAAATAAACCAGTTTTTAGAAATATTTTAGACCCTTCTGTTTATTAAAACTTTCTGCTTATTCAACAGAAAAGAGTAATTGTTTTTATCAATAATCGTAATTTAAAAAAAAGAGCAGCTATTATGTATAACTACAACAAAATTTAATAATAGTTAAATATTATAATGACAGATGCAAAAAAATGAACAAAAAATATATTTTTAACAACATAGATCACAACAACAGGTTTTTCCCTTGACCACTTTTATTCTAAATTTTTAAATTAAAGTATAAAATAATAAATAGTTTTTCTACCCTCCCAGGCCACAATTCCTGAACAAATTTGTTTTCATTAAAATAAATATGACAATATGAAATTTGTTTTTATATGAAGAAAATATGACAATATGATATATGTGTCATACAATAAACCTAAAATGAAAAAAATAAAGTTATATTTAAAATGAAAAATAATATATATAAAAATTAGAAGCCCATTTATTTGTTTTTTTATTGTTGTTGTTTACTCATAGCATTTAAAGCATTAATGTTTAAGTAGATTAAGTATTTCAATGCAACGTTTGTGAAACGTTTGATAAATGATGTAATTTATCAAACATTTGTAATCATCTACTTTGTAAAACCTTGTAATCGTCTACTTTAAAAACAAATTATTGAACAATCTAGTTCTTCCCCACACATCATAGAGTTAGTCATATGAGAAGCAAGGATTTATGTACTTATATATTTTTTTTATATATAACTACAAAAGTTATTTTATATATAACTACAAAAATTATTTTCCACAATAGAATCATTTTCCTCAAGCAGCCACTACTTACTTTTTTTATTTTTTTATTTATTTTTTATTTCAATTCACCTCCTCAAGGCCGAGAAGGCCACTACAGACGAGGAGGCTACTTATTTGTGGTTATAACCCTCTCTCAACTCTATAACTCCGAAACACGAACCTTGACGAGCAAGGCCGCTGCGCGGAGAAACGAGTTGAGTGCGGTACTACCAGAGACGTGGTGGGGATCGAACTCGGAACCACTCGTTTATGAAGCGAGCGCTCTACCACTACACCACTACCGCACTTAAGGAAAATGATTCAAAAACATTTAAATTAACTTCTCCGATTACTAGAAATTTCTCTATGCAATTAGTTAATTAACGCAAATTATGTTTTAAAAGTTTACAAAAGTTTTTGTTGTCAACTATTATGATCAAAAAAAAAATAATTTTTTTAAATAGAAGTTAAGAGTTGATCTGACATTTCTGAAATGAGAGGAAAACATTAAATGAGAGGGAAATATTAAATGAGAGGAATACATTATGTTTTGCTGGAATTGGCTTCTAGTAAAAGATAGTAATAAAGAGTATTATTCACCCTATATACAGTATTGGACAAAACATTTGCAACCAACATCGAACAATGCTAAAAAGTGTTCCTAATTTTACATGTCTTAAAAACAAAACGAACTATACTACCACAGCAAACTGTTCAGGAGTCTGGAGTCATATCATGCCATGACATGAGCAATCAGCTGATAAGTAACAGCACACAGGCAGAATTTTGTTGACAAGTGCCATTTTGCAGCGAACAAAATAACTGCAACTTTTTTGGTTTGTTTCATTTTCTTAAGTCTGGTCTGTGTCAACGTCATGGAAGTTTTTTAATAATTAAAGGAAGTATCCAGAAGTTTCCAGAAGCATGTAGAAGCTTCCAGAAGTTTCCAGAAGAAGCATCCAGAAGTATCCAGAAACATTCAGAAGCATCCAGACGCATCCAGAAGCTTCCAGAAGAATTGAAAAGAAACATCTAGAACCTTTTAGAACAGGTTCACACAGGTTCATTTTACTATATAAGAAACACAGAGCATTGTTGTATCATCACAAGGTAAATGTAACACGGTAAGCCTTGAGAAGCGTGATTATTTATTTTTATTATTTTTATGACTTCAAGTGCAAAAATGTCTCCCCACAGTTTTGGATTGGAACTAAGAAAGAAAATTATTGGCGATTACGTAAGTAAAATGTCACAAAAAAGTATTTGTGATAAATATGGCGTGAAAAAATGGACCGTATTAAGACTATGTTCTAAAAATCTTTCTACGGGGAAGTTTGCAACAGATAACAAAGTTGGAAGACCACGTTCCACCACTTCTAGAGAGGATTCTATGATCGTCAGATCCGTCAAGAAGGATCCCTATATATCATCAGTTAATATGCAAAAGCAGTTAGAGCTGCCTGTATCGGACCGAACATTCAGACTATTCGGCTTCAACAGTACGTCTGTTGAAGCCGTATTGTTTTCTCGTTGCCCTGCAAAGAAACGGCTGACTTTACTAAAGAACCAGAAGAAAAGACTCTTGTTTACTACATCTCATATTGACTAGAATGTACTGAAATGGTGAACTGTCCTGTTCAGTGATGAATCGAAGTTTAACATAGGAAGCGATGGTAGTTGCCGTGTACGTCGACCAGCCGGAAAAAGCCTCGATTTACGTTACTGCCATAAGACCATGAAGCATGGTGCAGGCAATGTAATGGTCTGGGGGTGTTTTTCTGCTAATGGTCTTGGTCCGATACATCGAATCAATGAAATAGTAGACCGCTTCATGTATAAAAATATCCTGAAAGATGTTATGTTACCTCAAGCTGAATGGATTATGCCAATAAAATGGGTTTAAAATATTGATAGCGAAATACAGCTTGGTCAACATTTTGTGGAGTTGCACTTGTTTTATCCAGAAGGAAATCAACTTTTTTTAATAGTTTTGATTAATTTATTAATTTTCGTGTACAAATAATGAACTTTGTGATGAATAAAACTTGAAGAGCGTTGTCTCTAAACAGTTACATAGTTATTTCTCTAAATTGAAAAAATGCAGCACTTCTATATAAAGAAACTAAATTAGCATTATTTGGTTGCACTTGTTTTGTCTGATACTGTAAGAAAGATAGATAAAGCTGGAGCGTTAAGTTTATTCCCTAACTGAACATTTAAATATGTATTATCATCATAATTTTATATTATTTGGTTTGATGTGTTAGGTGCAATATGCAATATGTAGGTAAGACTTATTATGGAAATGAAGGTAAAAAATCTTTGCTCAGCCACCTAAAGTCTAAAATACATTGTCAAAGCTGCGAAACGATTAAGTCAAACAAAGCAGTATTAATGCTGTCATTTTTAACAAATTAAAAAAAAGCAGATACATATGCCACTCTGAATAAAGTGCATATTGGCATTACTTGCACAAATAGAGTGAAGTCTACCACATAATTAGATTGAGTTTTCTTCTTTAAATGAAAACGTTTACGCAACCTAAAGCATTTTAGTAACTGGCTTTTGATAAAATAAAAATTGTAGTTAAACAAAGATTACCGCTTTTTGGCTTTGTTTTTTTTTTACTTCCACTAAAATATTTTATTTTTATGTACCGTGAAACCTAATGTATTTTTTCTTATTTCTTACTAAATTCATAAAGAAAAATAGTAATTTCAGTTTTAAAATGTTATTAGCAAAACTTGTTTTTAACAAATATTAGTATTAGTGATGTACCGATTGCACATTTTTGGCCGATGCCGATACCGATGCCGATGGATAGGAAAAGGCCGATACCGATGCCGATACCGATAGATTAACTAGCTATTATAATTTGAAAATATAAAAACCATACAACTTTAAATCGTTAAAATTTTTTATGGAATCAGAACTGATAAGCAAATACTTAAACCCAAATCAGAGTCAAACCTTTATTTTAAAAGATATTAGAAAAGCTCAATCAAATAAATATACATTTTTTACTTTTTTTTAACTATGAAAAGAAAACTTTCAAAAAATAAATACAATTTTAGAGGAACACTTTTTATTTCAATTTTAAAAAGAAAATGTTATTAAGATAAGCAGTTTACTTAGAATTTTAGGCTCTTTATAAAAAAACAAATAAAAATAACCTTTATAACATGAAATATATACATTTTCTCAAAATAAAATAAGAGACTTCAAAATCAAATACAAAAGAAAATAATAGCATTAAGATTCTAAAGGAAGCACCAATAGCAGTTGTAACAATATTTAGTATTTAAAATTGTGTATACGAATATTGTAATGTAAAAACATAAGCATTTCTCCTGTTTCTGGAGCCAACCTACTTCGTCGTGGAGAATAAATTTGTCCTCCACAACTAAATAATCGTTCACTTTCAACAGAAGATGGAGGGCATGATAAATATTTCTGAGCTATTGGAGCTAATTGTTTGAAGTTATTTCTATTTGCTCCCCACCATACTATAGGACTATCTTGTTGCATGATTATGTCTTGACTCAAATACATTAAAACTTCATTTTTCAATTTTATATAATGTTTGCTTTCTGTTTCTTGCAGAACTTCAGATATGGATGTGTTTTATATTTTTTTTTCAGATATGGATGTGTTTTTAAGCTTATAAACATCATCTTAAGAAAAACAAATTTGCCTGTAAACAAAGTCATTATAAAAAATTTCTCAAAAAAAATCTAAGTAATATATAAAGTTTAGTTTATTTATTATTTAGTTTTTATCATAATGTGGGATAAAAATATAAAAATGCCATCGGTTGGAAAATCGGTAAATTGATAAGGAAAGACCGATGCCGATACCGATACCGATTGTGCAAAAAGTGGCCGATTAAGCCAATGCCGATGCCGATTAATCGGTACATCTCTAATTAGTATAATTTTGAAATTTACATACCATATTTATAGCACTAGTATTAGTTTTGTTTTCAAAATAAAATAAATATAAGTTGGGCTTTTAAAGAGTTTATTGATTGCAATATTTTTAATCGGTATAAAGTTTGGTTCATTTTATAAAAAAAAGTTTTTCTACAAAAAACTTAATGGCAAAGGGAAAACCCAAATATAACATTTAAACTCGAGTTTGAAAGAACTTTTTTGTATTGGCGTCATTTATTAACAACAAAAGCGCATTATTCAGACTAAATTTTTTTTCTAGAATAGCCCCTGACTTTATACTTTGCATAAAAAATTAATCACTTTGTAACAAAAAAATTAAACCTATTTGGTGTACTTGTATAACACAGTAAGAACTTCGGTTCATACTCAATTTAGTACTGTATGGGAAAAAAAAAGTATCAATATTAGCATCATGTTTGTTAACCAGTTTTAAACTGTTATGGCTAAAAGGTTTCAATGTTTCAAAGCAGAAGTCTGGTTAAAATCTTTGTTTGAAAATGTGGAACCTACTTCTATAGCTTGTAAAATGGAATCTTCTTCGAGTATAGCAACAGGTACATCTAAAGAAGACTTTTTTTGTTTACCAGTTGATAGCAACTTAATAATAAGTTCTGGTGTTGAGTTATTTTTAAAGTTCCAATTAAAAAAAAATACTGGACAAAGTTAAAAAAATTTTTTTTTTAAAGTTTTTTTATTTTAAACTTTTTAAAAAAAAACATTTTTTTTTTATTTGATAGGATGCCTGACTCAGAATTTTAAAACTTGATTTTATTTGTTATTTCAAAGAGATAAAATCGTAACCCCAATGTTTTATTTTAATTCAAAATGAAATAAAAAAAAAACAAAAAATGTTTATTTAAATTCTTAATAAAACAATTTTAAAAAACCTGGCAAAACAAATGTTTTATTTATAATCTAGTTAAAATAAAAACAGAAAAATTTTTATTTTTTACTATTGCCATATCTGTAACAGATCTTCTAATAATCCCCTTTCTATTTTAGACATGATGCAAAAACTGATTGTTAACATAGTTGGACCTGTTCTTGCAGTCAACTTTCAACCATTGTCACATCGTCAAAATGTTGTCTCTTTCTCTTTTTATAAATACTATAATGGGTGCTGCTCTAAGGAGCTAGCGTCTTTTGTGCTAATCATTTATTCTCATGTTACTTATAATTTAATGAAGTCGCATCCCTTTACTTAGATTGTTCCTAAGTGCTCCAAAAATTCTTTTTCGTCTAGTTTTTTTAGTTCTTTGGAATATGCTCCCTTCTTATTTATCTGACCAGTTTATTTTGTATCAAGACTATTTTAAAACACGATGAAACCTTTTTTCACAAAATTATTTACCCAGGTATATAAAAATAACAATTGTGATTGCTTCAAATAATGTGTTCAAGATCACTAAATGGCTTTGATCAATTGCAATTTGCCCCTTGTAGCATAGGGAAAATTGTCTACCAACACTAAACATCACAACAAAAGCATCGCAACAATAACATGTAAGGTATTTGACCTTAGTTTTTCTATAATAAACTTCCACATAAAAGAGAAGCTATAGATTTTAATGCTAAAAAAATGCACTAATCACTGCAAAAACCTTACATCAATAATACGCAACAATAGCACATTAGATATTTGACTTGCTTTTCTATAATAAACTTTCACTTATAATAAAGTTATAGATTTTATTTTGTGTTTTGAACTAATACTATATGAAGATTTAATTAAAATAATATAAATCATTTTTAAATGTAATTTTTTCAAATTTTTTATTTTTATTTTAAATAAATGATATATGTTGATTAAAGTTGATTTTTTTTAGATCAGATATTCAGTAAAGATAAAGAAAAGTAAGTTTTCTTTTCCTTTAATAGTTTTCACTTTATATATTTTCAAAGATGGTCTAAAATCAAAATAAAAACAAATAAGGCAAATTAATGAAATAAAGATCAGGCAAAATATCAAAAAGGGATTAGATCAGACAAAATAAAAAGAATTTAAAAATATAATTTAGTAATTTTTATCATCAATACTAGATACATCCAGTTATATAATAAAATATTGATTTTTTTAAAATCACAGGGATTATCTTTTTTCGGATATTTCCGGAATTCCAGATATTTTTCTTAACCTTTAGTTTTTCCGGATATTAAAAATGTTTTCCATACATACAAGTTTAGGTATATATTTATTTTTTTTCACTAATCATTTATACAAAAATTTTAAAAAGTTTGTAAAAAAATAGAAATAAAAACTCTTAAACATCATGTATCTGTTATTTAAATTTTTATAAAAAATAATACCTAAATCACAGTTAGAAGTTGAATAAGCCAAGACAATATTTCCGGCTTAGACTGTTTACCTGTTCTAAATACTTTGCTTGTTTCCAGTTTTTTATTTGAATGATATAATACTAGGCACATCTATGTGGTTTAAACTAATATCAACTAAGTTCTTTGAACAAATAATGTATATTTAAACAAAAAATAGAAAAAGCGATAGGTAAACAAATGATAATTTAAGATTCTATCTTAAAGAATGAACAGATTCTATCTTATACCTTCAGGTGTAAACAGATTATATCTGTTGACCAACCTAGCACTCCTCTATCTATAAGGATTGCACAGATGTATTTGTAATACATGAATTCCAGTGTAGGATGTTGAATGCTGGATCTTCTTGACTCAATGCATGGGTTTTGCTTGTGTCTCTATTTTTATGAGGCAAATCATTATTATCTCCTAATGAGGGTGCAGCTGTAAACCCAGTTTTATCGTTCTGAAGCCGGCTGGTAGTCAGGTTTCACACACTCAGTGGTAGCTATCAGAGAGGCTAATTTTATCAACAGCTGTAAAATATCAGGGTACTAACAGTGCCATGTTGGGCATGAATAGTGTCCTTGTTTGTACTTTTGATGTGCATTGTCGAGGCCACATTTGGAGATTTTAGTTACATCTTTAGGTTTATTAACAGCCATGAAGTTACTGCTTGGGCTATTAAATAGTGTAGTGTTTACTATCTTTATTTGAGTCTAGTAAGTGACCGGGGCCCCGGCCCTGGCCCTGGCTAAAAACAGAGGATTTTGGAAACCCCGCCCTGGCTAAACAAACACAATTTGCAGGGGTTACTAGCCTGGGCTAACAAAAATAAATTCAACTATTTTCTAGTATTTATCAATTTCTTTACATTTAAATACTTGAATAGCTCAACTATGTAATTCTAATGATTAAAATTATAATTAAAAAGTTAATTACATTTTAAATGTAAATGCAATTTTACAATAAATTTATCTTATGAAATTTATTTTAGGATATTTTAAACACCCTGATTGTTAGCAATTTTTAAATATTTCTTCAAATAATTAACTTTGTTTAAAATTTTTAAATAATCAATTTATTACATGATGGCCACTGACTTTTCTACAATATCCAGGTTGTTGGCTTGTTTGTTCTTTCATCCGGAAATAACAAAGTACAAAGTAGGAAAAAAAACAATGATCATAGAGATAGTATGAGAGTAGTAATTATATTTATAGTGTGTATCAGAGAAGATGATTATGATGCCAATGATTAACATGATGATGATGATCATTGTGATCATCATCATCAGAATCATCTTAATCATTATCATCAACTGTATGCTTGATTATGATGATGATGATGATGATGATGATGATGATGATGATGTAGATGATGACGATGATGATGATGATGATGATGATGATGATGATGATGATGATGTAGATGATGACGATGATGATGATGATAATGATAATGATGATGATGATGATGATGATGATGACGATGACAATGAGATGATATATATACCTTTATATAAAATATATCATGAATTTTAAATAACAATAATATATTTATAAGGAATATCAATATTAATGCAGCCCCGGTCACAAACTCGGCTATGTTTTATCAAACCTGGCCACAGCCCCGGTCAAATATCAACCCCGGTTGCTTACTATTTGAGTCAAGTTCTTTAACAAATTTAAAAAAGACTTAAGTAACAAAAACTAAATAATACATATAAAACAAGTTTGGTTTGCGATTTTGTGGCAAACAGACGTTTTTTTTCTGAAGAGATTTATTATATTAATAGCAAGTTATTACTTTTGATGTACTAAAACTTTATGTTATATGGTGCCAAGAGAAATTAGTGAGTTGTTTTTTAAAATAAAGTTGATTGATAACATTTTAGAGAATTACATATTTAATGTAGAGGAAATTTGCTCCCATCCAAGGGATATCATTATCAATGGGTTTTCGCAATTTAATAAGGCGGAAATTTTCAAATTAAGAGTCGATTTATTTACAGAAACATTGGAACATTTTGACATAGAGCAGTTCTCGCTGCTAAATATCATTCTAGATAAAAAATGATTCACAATCTAACAACCCAAGTAATTGTAAACCGCAAGAAATTAAAAAATCTATTGTTTTGAATTCAATAAATAATCATTCCTCAAATTCAAAAATACTAAAATAGAAAATATATGCAAACAATATTTTTCAAAAGCATTTGCCAACGTTGTGGCTCAAACACAATCAACCGAAATAACTTCTGAGATGATTTTCCATGTATTAAATGACAAAAAACTGGAAAGGAGTAATGAATGGAATAAAGATGAAGTTTTTTTTTTTAATTGATAAAAATAATAAACTGGTGCCCTCTGTTGAACGCAACCAAAATTTATCATTCGAAAAAAAGTACTATAAGGTTGAGTCTGTCTTTGGAACTAAAATTACTGGTCATAAAAGCATTGCAGGCGTAAAAATTGTATGCAAATTTGATGTTTTTGTGGGAGGCATAGGCAATTAAGTTATCGATAAAGATTTTAACAATTATATATGAAAAATGAAATAAACATTACGCCATTGTTAGTTGCCGTAAACAAAATAAACAAGTATATTAGATCGTTTCCAGTTCGGAAAAAATAGATATTCCTGAGCTATGGCGCAATATTATAATTGTAAAACCTTTTAAGACAAAACGCTTTTTCTAAAACAGTGAACAAAATCTGGTATCCAACAGGAGACAGGATAAAAATTTTTAATTAAAAATGTATATAAGCAGCATAAGAGAAAAAAAAAACCTTCAACAACTTTCAATATATGTACTTTTAACTGTCAGGGAATAAAGTCAAACATTGAATTTACAAAGTCACTTATACAATCTTATGATATAACTTTTTTATGTGAACATTGGATATCTAAACTTGAATACTCTATAATAAGAGACTTATCGAATGAAACACACACTATTTATTTCCATCAGTTGAATAAATATGAAAAAGACCATTTGACGGAAATGCGTCCTTATACTTACTAAGAAGAAATCAATTCCAAAATATTAGAGTAATTTATGAGGGTGATGAATATTTTAGCAATAAATTTCGAAAAAAATGAACTTAACATTATAGTTATTGGAGTATAACTCTCCTTATCGCGGAACAGCCTCTCATCATTGGAAGAATACGAAAGTCAACTAGATATTGTCAAAAGTCTAATTAATAGTTACTAGCAGTAAGCAACCCGTAATACGGGTTAGTAGTAAATAAATCATTACTAACAATTTGATCTTTATTTACTTTCTCTAATGAAATATAAATTTATTTATACATTTTTTTGGTTGTGCTCACTTTAATTTTTCTTGGCTTTTTAGTTTAACAGAACTCTTAGCTTCATTAAAGATAAAGTTAACCTTTTTTTTTGCAGTGTTCAAACATTGTAGCAGTAAGCAAACCGTAATACGGGTTAGTAGTAAATAAATCATTACTAACAATATGATCTTTATTTACTTTCTCTAATGAAATATAAATTTATTTATACATTTTTTTAGTTCTGCTCACTTTTATTTTTCTTGGCTTCTAAGTTAAACAAAACTATAAGCTTTATTAGGCCGGGTGAATAAGAAATTCTTGGCTTCTTAGTTTAAGAGAACACTTAGCTTTAATAAAGATAAAGTTAACCATTTCTTTTGCAATGTTCAGACATTGAATGCGCAAATCACAACCATGTAGAAGTTAAAAATGACTTGAATTATATGCACAGAACATCGATGTCAAATTTTCAAATTCCGTAAAATTGTTTAGGTAAATATTGGGAATATATTTTACTCTTAATTTTGCTTTAAGCTTAGTCGTTTCTTTTTTTTTTACTTTTCATTTTACTTAGTGAAGAGCTTAAAAATATGTCACTATTGCACCTAAACTTTTCAATATTTTTAATATACTTTTTAAATATTTTTAAAACATCTAAAATATTACACCCAAACTTGTAGGCATAGAAGTTGGATATCCGGAAAAACTATAAGTTGAAAAATATATCGCAATTCCGGAAAGGGCTCTGCATACGGATCCTATATTATTATATGATAAAGATTATTACTAAACCAACCTTTTTTTAATTAGTAATCCAGCAGAAGCTTGTTTATAAAAAAACAATAAAGGAATATATCGATTTACTTTATAGCTAATGTATATCAACATATTTATTTCAGCATACATCCAATCCATATTTATACTAATTTTATAAAATGTCCGGAACATTTTGCCTTAACTTGGCGTTAAATTATTAGTTTTATTTCATTAATTTTTATATAGATCAGGTTAATAATAAAAGCAATTGGATTTTACTCAATATTTTTGAAGTAATTATTCAGCTTTAATAAAATTGATAAAATCATATAATTCATTTAAGAAATATATTTAAACCTTTGTTCACTTTTTGAAAATCCGTAAAAAAGCAAGTCTCAAGTTTACATATCTTTAAAAGAAATTTATTTACATGATATATCATTAAATATGTAACAAAAATGTTTTAAAACAGAAGCATATATA